AGCAGATGCGTATTTCATGAATGAACTGACAGACCTGTTCCTATTTTGCAAGAGGATACAACTCTGGGGGCCTTTAGAGCTTTCTACAAAATACAAGCCACAAAGCAAGGCAGTATGCTCTCCTTCTCATCTATGACCCAAAAGGATGGGAATTTTCCACATATAGCATAGATCTTTCAAACATCAGTATGATGTTTCATTAAGTTTCTAGAAAATTTATTATCTTCTTCGCAATAACAGAATTTTTACACTGACAAAATTCAATAGGCCTACTTCTCTTCAACATCTACATAAATGTCTTGGACAGAGGACTCAAAGGAATATTAAGTCACTTAGCCAACAACATTAAATTGGGAGGAGCTGTCAAGTCCCTCAAGTACAGAGAGGGAGGCACTGCAGAGACTTTGACAAATCAGAGGGCTGGGCAATCAGTAACCCCAGCCCTATGAAGTTTTACAAGGGCAAGTTCCATATTCTGCCCCTGGGATGGGCCAACCCTGGGTGTATGGACAAACCTCAGAACAAGAGGCTGGAGTGCAGTGCTGCACAAAGGGTCCTGGGGGTCCTGGTTGAGGGTGAGTTAAACACAAGCCAGCAGTGCCCCAGGAGCCAGGAGGGCCAACTCTGTCCTGAGGTGCATCAGGCACAGCATCACAGCTGGGCAAGGGAGGGAATTGTCCCACTCTGCTTTGCAGTGGAGCAGCCTCACCTCGAGTGCTGGGGGCAGTTTTAAGTGCCACGATATGAAGAAGACATGAAGCTGCTGGAAAGCATCCAAAGCAGGGCCACAAGGATGGTGAAGGGCCTGGAGGGGAAGCGGTATGAGGAGGAGCTGAGGTAACTTGGTCTGTTCAGCCTGGAGAAGACTGAGGGGAGACTTCACTGAGGTCTTCAACATCCAACAGGGCGAAACAGAGGGGCAGGGACCAATCTCTTCACTCTCATGACCAGCGACTGGTCCTGAGGATATGGCATGAAGCTGAGTCAGAAAAGATTTAGGTTGCCTATCAGGAAAAGGTCCTTCACCAAGTGGGTGGCTTGGCACTGGTAAAGTAGTCACAGCACCAAGCCTGTCTAGTTCAAGAAGTGTTTTGAGAATGTTCTCAGGCACAGGGGGTGATTCTTGGGTGTCCTGCACAGCACCACGAGTCCATGATCCTGATGGGTCCTTTGAAACTCAGGATATGCTATGATTCTGCTCTATGAAATTCTGACAGAAGTACGCATACCATGACAACAAAGTAAAAATACCTGATTGTTTTGGAGTACAATTATTCTCAACTGTCTTCTCTGATACTGAAGTCTGTTGTAAGAGACTGACCAGTCCTTGATCTTCAAACAAACCAACACTACAAATCCTTCACAAAAAAGAGGTCAACAACTACAGCTCCAGCCTGTTTTTGTCCCTTTATCCTTCACATCCTAAGAGCATTCTCTCCAGTGAGACTGTGTTTTGAGCAAGTTTAGCAAGACTAAATTAACCATGCTCACATCTACTCTGTAAGACATCAGAATCACAGAATCAAGATTGGAAATGACCTCCAATACCATCATGTACAACAAACTTCATAGATGGTGCTGGGTTTCCAACATACAGAACACGTGCACAGGCCAATACTTACGGTTTTTATCCCTTGCACACAGAATTGCAGGTTCTTTTTCACTTTTACCACAAATAGAGAAGGGGTGGTCTCTTTCTTCTGGAATCTCTACATATTTTTTCTCTCAAGATCTTCTGTTTCTCAGGACAATTTGCAGTCTTGAAGCTTCCCAATCAAAAAGAGTATTTCTCAACTTCTCCTCAAATCATCATCCCTCCTCAACTTCTACACAAAAGACTGAATTTTAGTTCAGACTTTGCCTTAAATCACCATCCCTCTTCAACTTCTACATAAAAGACTGAATTTTAGTTCAGACTCAAGTTTTTTCTCCCCCCTGTCAGCCCTGTAATTACCTAAATGTTGTGTGTAACAACATCACAGTCCAATGAAAAACCACATTTCCTCTTCAAATCCCTGATGACTGACAGGTATAGGGCACATAGCTAATGGCCAAAACAGACAAACAGCTCTGCACAACACCATTAGCCTAGATTTTGATTTTCCCCCAGTTCTTTCAAGCTCAGCTGTACACTAGCTAGAGTACCCATCGTTTCTCAAAAGGAAAGAAATTATCAACTGGAAGATAAAATTTTGCCAGTTTACCAGACATTTCCTAACTGTTAAGAAGTTAAAATTGCAATGCTGGTTTTCCCCCCCAGTAAGTGGAGCAGAAAATAAATCAAGACAGAACTTTGTATTCAAATCCACAGCAAACATAAACACAATCAACTAAAATATCAACACACCGCTCCTGAGAGAAATGCCATAAAAATTGAGTGTGGTCCACAAAAATGAGTTCTAACACACAAGAAAACACCAAACAGAAAAGCAAAACTAAGACAAATAGCCTCAGTCAGGATGACTTTCCAAACCTGCAATTGTTACTGTCATGGGATTTTCAAGAACTCCGTGGGTCCATGTGGACAGCTTGGCACAAGAAGACTGGACAGTTCAACACCCAAGGGAAAACAAATTTTCATACCAAGGAAGTGTTACTTCAAACTCAGTATCTGACATTTTAAAAACTGACATAAATTTCACATATGCAGTGTAGCTCTCAGATAGTCAGGTTGTCTCTGATTAACAGTGATGTAACAGATTATCTGGAAGATTAGACACAAATTCCACCAGAAACCACCACAGCTTACAGTAATACTGCAGTCTTCCTGAAACGACAAGCCACATTAAAACTCCCTGTTGCTTCCAAACACATTCTCTACTGCATTCCTATCTCTGATAAACCGGAACAATCTCCTGATACATCAGGGAGTTTACAGAGATTAATGTTACATGTTGCCTAGCTCAATCATTCCATTAAATGGACACAGATTATACATCAGCCTGTACTTAATGCAGGTAAATTGTTTCTACCTTCCGCCCATGAATATTATATACAGGTGAAATCCTTGGATTGCTCACAGGCTTTTGTCATTCAATAACATTTGACTACTTGAGAGATCAAGATCTTCCACTGGGTGTTTCAGATGTAGAGTAAAAGGACATGTAGTTTAACTACTTTCTTATGCCCATTGCCCTGGTTTTTCCTAAGATGAAGTTTGCTGTCTCCCTGTGATGCAGTTAACACATCTCTTTGTTAAGTGCCCTTAGAAATCACAGACTAGTGGTACTAGAGTCATCACCTTGCCACAAAAGTAAAAGTAATGCAAGCAGAAGAAAATTGATGACAAGGAGGTTGGTCTGCATTTCAGCAAGTGGTTTTGAGGCAAAAAAGGTTTCAGCTAATGCCCAGTTTTCCCACCTCCTACATGGACAAATTAGGGAAGAGTTTTCCTTCGATTTTATTTTTCCTACATGAGTACACCATGGTCTGAACTCAGAATCATTTGAGTATCAATCCAGAAGGTACTCATCTGAAACTTAAGCACAATTAAATTGGTTAGCAAGCTGGCCTCATGGCTATCTTCGCAAGATTCACGGTTCTGCCCTCACTTCAAAGTCTTCTTACTTTCCCAAAGCACATATCTGCATAGATCTGCAAACACATCTCCCAAGATTCCAAGTAAAGCAACAGAAGTTTTACAGAGTTACTTTCATACAGCTGCGAAAACTTCACCACTCTTCAAATCACATATACCAGTGTTGGTAAAAAGGACACATACAACAGAAATCAGGGAAGTCAAAGCAGTACACATATGTCACATGCCCTTTCCCATATGTGAATGCCAACAGTTCATCTCACCATCTTTAAGGGCCTTCCATGAGCTCATTCTGATAGCCTGTTTGCCAGCCACAAACCTTTACTGCACCCCCACTGTGTCTGCTTGTGATACTTCATTCTTGTGGTATGCATTCAGCTTCTACTCAGGGATGCTGTACCTCTGGGGTTTGGCTGGTTTTCTTCTTTACTTCTATGCAAGTTAAACAATTATGCTGCCACTACAGAACCACGTGTTTAATCCTAACCCAGCTATAGACCAACGTCCTTCAGAAGCACCAGCTGATTTTCCTGTTTAAGTCACATCTTAGGGTAAAACTCTGAAAGCTGAAAGCATTCTGAAGTACTCAGAGTATTTTCTGGTTGAATGAACTCAAATGGCTTTACCAAACTTTCAAGTTATATTTGAAAAGAAAATAAAATTCACTGCTTTTACAGTCTTTACACACATTCCCACATTTCTTTAACACTTTAGATGCTCACAAGCAACCAGCTTTTATCAAGGCATCTGAGGCTTTTAGGTGTCTTGAGCATAAAAACTAGTCAGTTGTGACTTAATTTTATCAGAAAGAACAGGTGTCCTATTTTTACACTGGCAGACACATCTGTACCCCTAACTTCAATAAAATTTATTGTCTTGGAGATCTGATGACCATGTTGCATGAACAACTGTATCAGCAACAGAGAAAGTACTACTAACTGAAAGATTTGCTCACTAAAATCTGCAATCTAGAAGATACACATACACATTTTATTTCATGCTGCTTACATGCCAAGAAATGCCTTGAACATCTTATAACAGTTCAGTATTTTAATTTCAAGTCCTCAATTTGATCAAAATCACCCATGCACTACAGAACTATAGCAGCTGCTATAAAGACTATCATTTTATCCATTCTCAGTGGAAAAACGGAGCTTTAGAATGTCTGTTCCCAACATACTGTACTGACAGCATGTTTGGAATTTCACTTTTTAGAAGTTTCAGCAGCAGCCTACACTGGCTTTACAAATATTTACATACCGCATTCTAAAAGCTTAGATTTCTTCCCAGAAGACAAGAAAGTCTGATAAGTGTTTGCACCTTTAGATTTTGATTTGCCTTGGCAAATCAGTACCTACAGAAGACTTGTTAGCAGACTGAAACATGTTTTGTGCTTTAAACTTCAGAGATCATAATTTCAACTTCAGAAGTGTTTCCATCAGTAAGGCACACCAGACAGAGATGACTCCCACATGCTTAATCTTTATTGTGCGAATGCTGTTCAGAGCATTTATTACCCTGTGTAGACACACATTAAAAAAAAAAACAATACACTAACAGTGGCTAGATTGATGGACAACATATTAAATCTATTTGGTGGTAACTTGTATGCATGCAGTGAACTCCAGTGGTGTAGAAATCTTAGCCAGGAGGCCAGCCCAACTGGCGACCACCCAGAACATGGAGATGTACGTGATAGACAGACTGCCCACCCTCAGGCCCTTCATTCACAACCATCCGGAATCCATTGGTCAGGCCCAGGTTAGCAGCACACTTCTTGCCAACAATCATTAAATGTCCGAGAAGCTGGAGAAGAAAGAAAAAAAAAAAGAAAAAAACAACCAACAGAAAACACACAAAAAGGGGGAAAGGGTAGGAAGGGAAGGAATGAGAGCAGAGAACCAATAGGCCAGTAAGTTAATTCTCAGAAATTCAGCCACTGCTCTTCAAATTGTTGCCTGCCTGCAACTAACACCTTCCAAGAAAAACTATGAGGACTGCCTATGCGTAATATAGGGGGAAAATAGAACTACTGATCTTTCTCAAGCCAGGCAGTAACAGACAACAAAAGTGTCATAGAAGCTACATTTACTTAATGGTTAAAGCCCCCACTACTTCTTCTGAACACTATATATAATTCTGGCGGAAAAGAAACTTTATCTTACCATGTAAAGCTTACAAAATCTTTGAGCTTGATGTTTTTAGTTACAAATGAAATATTCAGCACCTCTCAGCTAACCCTCCTTTTCTTCACCTCTGACCTGCTAAAAACCCCCAAGCCCATATTAGAGTAAGTACTGTTGCATGCAAACAATGAAAACAGACATCAGGATTGTTAAATAACAAATACCAATTCATTTTGCATGGAAAATACATGCACAGATATATTTTGCTTTCTCTGGCTAATTTTACTGAAAAACCTTAACTCCATTATCTTTTAAGCTACAAGACAAGCATTAGAGTATCAGAAAACTACTTTGCCTCTTTGAAATGTCAAGAGGAAAAGGGGGACAGCCTACTACATTATGAAGTAATCAGAAGCACAGTTTGGTGTACAGAAAACCTTTAGAGTACTTACAGATTCATCAGAATCTTCTGCTTCAGACAATCTGACAATTGGCTTCTTAGGAATCACTAAGAAATGTGTTGGAGCTTGGGGTGAAATATCATGGAACGCGAGGCACTGGAGGAACAGAAAGCAAATAAAATACAGTTTGTTTTAGAGAAAGGTAAGAGTTTCAGGAAATCAATATGCCCCACTAAATACATACTTCAGCCAGATATCCCGAACATAAGCAGCAAAGTTAAATTTCCTTGAGTGATATATTATTCTACATCCTTTAACTTCTAAACACAAAACACTACTTACCAAGACCCACTGAAAAAAAAATCACTGCTTTGTAAAGTACTGTTTAAAAGCTACAGCCTTCTCAGCAAAGCAATACGCAATCAGGTTCAAGATTTGCTACTGAAACACACGCATAACAACTAGTAAAGCTGTTGGCATGCATGCCTATAAAAAGTACATTCATGGTTTTTTAAATGTTATTTTATATTTTATGTTAAATAAAATAAATGGCAAAGAGTTGCTAATCAACTTCTAGTTATGCCTGAATATTTCCTTGGTCAAAGACAACAAGGCAATTCCAAAGATCCTGAAGTTATGTGAATGAGACCATATTAGACTTCTGTTCTGAACAGCACCAAGTATTTCAGAGTAATGCATTAAAACCAGCTTTGCTTCAGACATGCTTAAATCAAAAGAAAGGCATCACTTCTGAAATACAAACATCTGTCTGTAGTGACTAGCTGAATCTTGACTAAATACCAGCATGCATCACCTAAATATCACATTAGGAACTGCCAATAGGCAAGAGAAAATTAAGCTGTGTCTCCTAGTACAAATGGCCAACCACAGGACTGGGACTTCCAACTGGAACCTCAACAAATGCGCAGATGCACAGGAGGTACTCTGCCAGCATTAGTCCAAGATATCTCTAAATTTCCCATCCCGTTCAACAGTGTAACACCTGGCAGCAATTGGTTATGTCACAGACAGTGGATACTTAAAAACACATATACCTACATTCCTCAAAATGCTTATTTCCTAGATACTTTTCTTTGTGAATCAATAAAGTTAATTTTCTGTGCAAATATACTTCTTTTTTATTCTGAAAAGAAATGTGTCAAGAGTAAAGTTGGTGAAAAGCCAAACTCAACTTGCATCAATCTTTTATGCAAGTCATCTTCTACATCAAATCTATGTGGTTTTAGGATCTGTTTAAGAAGATAACGCCCAGCTTGAAATTCTGATGAACTACTCCTTTCTTCCAAACAGGGAAGGGCAGTAAGGATATAACTGATGAATAAAACTGTTTGCACCAAATTAAATAAATCATACTTAGAGCTGACCATTTTGTAATCAGCTTTTCTATTATATGTAGTCTCATCGAGGCAGAATGCAAATGGCCAAACTGCCTCAAAAGAATTAAAAGAGCAAAAGATTGGAAGTAAATAGCTTTCTATTATACAGAAAGCCAAAGCAGCATTAAGGAAAAAACGCAATCACAGAAATTCGTGAGTATATGGGAAACCAAATTTCATTTCAGGAAGTTTAGATTCAACTGGAAAACCAGTGATAAGGCATAATTCCACAGAGACTTTGTACTTCTCAGTAGTTCCCTTTCTCTGAAGGTCAATTATTGATTAAAGACTTTCCTTACCTTTCTCCTTTAACACTTCCAGCTACCTCTAAAAAGACCTCCATAAAGCCAACAAAAGTAATTCAAGATCATCCACCAGTCAACTGAAATCTAGAAGTTCTACATTCCTGCGCACTTTGAAGTAAAAACCAAATGGTGCACTGCAGGTAATGACACTTCCAGAAAATACTCCACACAAATGGCTGTCAAAGTAGTTTATACTCTCAGTGAAGTCAATGGCCTGATTCCTAATCATGCAGTGCGCACCTTTCTCTGCTGCAACCACCGCAGCTGATGAAAAAGCTCACACAGGTTTGACCCGGCTAAGGAAAGAACACACACCTTCACATAAACACAGAGCAGTAACATAAGCACTATTTTCAGAAAGCACTGAACATTTTTAATATTCTTCAGAGCATAAGGCAACTGCAACAATTCTGCCATCTATTAAGAAAACTCCGTTTTAAGCTATGCGTGATTTTTAAGCACATAAATCTGACAAACCGCATCCTTAGCGAGTCTCTACTGAACACTGAGAATAACCCCTTTATTTCAAAAGCAAAAGGGGCTTAATGGGGCTCCAGTATTTCAATCTGAAGGGCGGGGAAAACAAAGAGCTTACACCAAATACCAGCTGGATTTTGGGAATAACCGCTGCATTTCTTCTAAAGCTAATTATTTAATTTCAGCCCTAACGTGCTGCGATGCACCAGCAATCCCTCTCGGAGGTTCTCTGCCAAAGCCCAGCAGGCAGAGCTGCATAACCTCTGCGAGACTATTGAGAGGCACATCGGGACCTGCACAAGCAGACAGATGGGGTGCTCTGCTCCGAACCCGCACGAAGGCTGCCTGCAAGTGGTAAAGGTTTCACCACTACCCTCCCACACCAGCTGCGAGAACCCTCGACCCTTGGCAAGGAGCCCAATGCAGCTCCGGGGAGGACGCAGGGAAGAGCGGGGGAGCACGGCCCGCCCTGTCGCTCTCCCGGATGCCTCCGCGACGCCCCCGGCCCCTGCACAGCGCGCACCTGCTCGTCCTCGTAAATTATGTTGGCGGGGATCTCCTTGCGGATGATCTTCCCGAAGATGGTGTCCCCGCCGGGACGCGCCGCCTGCGCCTTGCTGATCTCGTCAGCCATGGCGGCGGCTCCCGCGCGGCTCCCGCCGGCCTTCAGAGCCGCCTTCCCCCACAGCCACGCCCCCTCGGCACTCATTGGGCCAACGCCGTCCCCTGGCCGTGTTCGCCCGTCTGATTGGCGGTTTCTCCCGTCATTGTCCCGCTGGTCCCCGCCCACCGCACTGCCGCGCCCTCGCTGACCCGGGAATCGCGGAGGGATCCGGCGGAAAGAACTATTGCAGACTCCGCGCAGGGATCAACGCTGCGAAGAGAAAGGCGGCTCTACAAAAGTAGTGCAGTCCCGGGAGAGGCTGTTGTGGGCAGAAGTGTTACTCATCAAATCTAACCCAAACATCTGTGTGATTTCTTGGGACAAGCTCCTGCAGACTGCACCAGGCTGGGCTGGGTTAGCTTTTCCACCAAAGTTTGCAGGTGTTTGGTGTCCTGGAATCAGGGTCCTGAAGAAGGGCAGTTTCATGTGCCAGCCCTTCGGCACATAAGTAATTTCGTAACTATGAAACAAACTAATCAGTATAGCCAAGCAGTAATTCAGAGGGCAACACAAAGTTACGCAGCTGTACATCTAGTTGTAAATGGTTTTTTTATATATATCTATAACACCAGTCATTAAATGGGAGCAATGAAAAAGCAGGGGGGAAAAGCCAACAAAAACCTTAAGGAGTATCAACCAAGCTTCATTTTCAAGGTCAAGTACGAGGTCCTGCACCTGGGTCGGGGCCACCCCTGCTATCAACACAGGCTGGGAGATTGAGAGCAGCCCTGTGAGAAGGACTTGGGGGTGCTGGTGGGTGAGAGGCTGGACATGAGCCAGCCATGGGCACTCCCAGCCCAGAGAGCCAAACATGTCCTGGGCTGCATCCAGAGCAGCCTGGGCAGCAGGGCAGGGAGGGGATTCTGCCCCTCTGCTCTGCTCTGGAGAGAGCCCACCTGGAACCTGCATCCAGCTCTGGGCTCCCAGCACAGGGAGGACATGGAGTTGTTGGAAAGAGTCTAGAGGAGCCCACAAAAATAATCAGAGTGACAGAGCACCTTTTCTATGAGGACAGGCTGAGACAATTGGAATTGTTCACCCTTGAAAAGAAAAAACTTCAGAGTGACCTAACTTCAGCTTTGCAGTACCTGAAGGCAGAGAAGTTGTGGGTGCCTAGTCCCTGGAAGTGTTCAAGGCCATGCTGGATGGAGCTCTGAGCAACCCAGTCTAGTGAAAGTTGTCCCTACCCATCACAGGGGCATTGGAACTAGATGACCTCTAATGTCCCTTCCGACCCAGACAATTTTAGATTCTATTATTTTCTAAACTTCACCCAAAAAAATAGATTGATTTCTCTGAAGATTTGTCTAGGTGCCTATTAATAGAGATATTTATATATATTTGTCTCTAGACAAAAGTGTTACAGGAAAGCATTTTGGAGGGAGGCAGAGAATAAATATTGCTAAGTGGCTTAAACCTAATATGGTTCCACTGCTGGTTACACAAACATGTTACAAAAAGAGCAGAATTTGTCATATATTTCTGGTAGTAACTCTGAAATAATTTATCATGAAAATCCCTGCATGAAATACCCTGAAAAAAAACTCTGATAAAGTACATAATCAATGAAATTTTTTCTCTCTTCCTTAGATGATGTTCTGGGATTAAGGTATTTTGACTTGTATGTGTCCTACAGATGGTATTGGAGCTTTATGACAATTAAAAGAAGTGCTTCAGGGACAAACTTCTTTGAATTATATTATTGTCCAACCAAGGTTATTCAGCAAATATATGAACAATTCAGGTGAACACTGCTGTGGATTTAATTAGAAAGTATATTTCTTTGTTAAGAGAAGATGTAAAGAGACAAGTTTAGACGTTTCTCCAAAAAAGCAAAACCATTTTTCTCATATAGCTGACTTCAGCATATATTTTTGTCTCACCATGAAAACAGCAAATTTTATTATTTTGAATAAAACAATGAATGAATTAGACCCTCTTTTCAAAGATCTAATTCATTCATATCTGCAATAATTATTCATGGAAATAAATTATGAATAAACATCACTTCTGCTAACATATCAAGTTTCTTTATGAGTTACATAGTAAAAAAAAGTATTTAATAGATGCTTACAAGTACTATTAATAATAAAATTATTAAAATTATTGAGTAATAATTTAGTGTTCCCATATTTTAATTAGCTTACAATGTAACTGCTGTTAAATGATCAAATAGACTGTGTATTGAAGCTAGAGGTCTAGTGAGTAGTAAAGATGATTGCACAAAAAATCCTTATGCTGCCTTTAGCTAATGCTGAATGAAGTGTTAGTGAACTAAAAGCTTGTTTGTTTTTCAAGAGAATGGCAATTCAGTTTTATAGATGTACCCGGCGTGGCCATGATGTGCCCAGGCCCAGGCTTGGGTTGGTCAGGGTGTGAGCAAGGCAAGCTGTGGGGAGCTTGATGTGAGTAGCCGAGACTAGAGAGGGAAAATGACTGAACAGAAGAATATGCCTGTTGGATAATACCAGCAGAAAAAAAGCCTGCCAGCTTGGCAGCTGTGATCCTGAGAACCAAGAGTGTCCTTGAAAAGTGCAACTGGACTCTTCTAAATACAGCTGGATACCTAGAAATTGGAGACATCCTGAGATACTACTGATAAGCACAGAAACAAGGAATTATAATCACAACTTTTCTTCTGAAATGGTGAAAAAATAGACTGGAAAAGAAGATATCACTCCATATAAGGAAGGATTCCGAACTGGTGTTGGTTGTTCTAACTGCAAGAGCAAGGAAACAGTCTTGGCAAAATAAAAACTGGGCACACCGAGGATCGGCACTGTCTGGATAGCCCATAAGGCCAATGGGACCCTGGGGTGCATTCGGGAGAGCACTGCCAGCAGTTCAAGAGAGGCGATTCTGGCCCTCTGCTGTGCCCTGGTGGGGCACATCTGGAGTGCTGTGTGCAGTTCTGGGCTCCTCAGGACAAGAGAGACAAGGGGGTCCTGGAGGGGATCTACGGAAAGTCAGTGAAGATGGGACTGGAGTGTCTCTCTTTTGAGGAAAGGCTGTGGGAGCTGGGCCCGATCAGCTTCGAGACAGCTGAGAGGGACCTCATCAATGTCTGTGAGTATTTGAAGGAAAGGGGTCAGAGGAGGATCCAGGCTGTTCTCAGCCATGCCCACCAACAGATCAAGGGACAGTGGACAGAAATGGATGTTTCTGAAACAGGAAGTTTCTCTGAACACGAGGAAGAACTTCTTTACTCTGCAGGTGAGCGGGTACAGGAGCAGATTGTCCAGATAATTTGCAGAGTCTTCCCCAGTGGTGATGGAACTGTCTGGATACAATCGTGTGCCATGTGCTCTGGGCTGTCTCTGCCTGAGCAGGGACGTTGGACCCGATGGGCCCGTGTGGTCCGTTCCAGGCTGGGCTGGAAGTCCCTTCTGTGAGTCCGTGAAGGCCGCCTCAACCCCGCCGGCCATGGCAGTGCCGCGGGGCCACAAGGGCGGCTCGGAACGGCGGCGGCGGCGGGCGGCCCCCGGGGGACAGCATTGGCGGCGGCACCGGCGCAGCGCGAGAGGGTGCGGCTCGTCCCTGACGGGCACTTCCGGCGGCGGGCACTTCCGGCGCGGGACGGTGCCGGCGGCGGGCGCCATGGGGAGCCGGGGGCAGGCGAGTGACACACACACAAACACACACACGTACTCTGTCCGTGCTGGGAGGCTGCAGCTTTGTAGCTTTAGTCGAGCCAAAAAACATAGACTTTCAGGACAAGAAAGATAAAAAACTAGGTAAAGGAATGTAGCGGTTTGCGCGCAAAGGCCATTGCGGGAGAAGAAAGCGAGAAGTGTGATAAACAGAGGGGAAAATACATCAGAAGCACGTGAGAGTAAGCCAGGGAAAACCAGGGACCTAAGAATTAATAAGCGCTTTCATCACTGCGGTGTAATTTCCTGTCAGTGCCTCTCTCGGGAGTGTCTTGAAGCGTAGTTTTGGGGGTGCAGTCGACAGGTGTTGGCGGAGCTCTCTGTTAATGCAGGTGGCTGTAGAGGTCGGAGGCGTCTGCATTAATACATCCTGATCAAGACCATCTAATTCAGCTTTTCACCATTGTGGCTGCCGTGGTGAAAAGTTTCCAGGAGGGGCTTGGAGAAGTTGAACCAGAGAATGTCCTTGGTTGGAAGGGAGGCACAGAAATGATGGAGTCCAGCCCCTGGTCTTGCACGGGGCCATCTCCAGGGTGGTGCACACACCGTGTGCCTGGGGGAGCTGTGCAAAAGCCTCCTGAACTCTTGTCAGGCTGGTGCTGTGACCACTGACCTGGGGAGCTTGTTCAGTGCCCGGCCACCTTTTGGCTGAAGAACCTTCTCCTGATATCCAGCTTGAGTGTTCCCTGACACAACTTCAGGCTGTTCCCTTGAATCCTGTCACAGGATACCAGAGAGGAGATTGGTGCCTGCCCCTCCTTCTTCCCTTGAGAAGAACCTATGGACTTCTCTATGGGTAGGAAGAGACCTGAAAATGGCTTGCAAATTCTTGAAAATAACCATAAAAAATTTTAGGTTTTGCCATACATGTGTTCAACATAAAACCACATGTAATATTAATCTGCTGTTTGAAAAGATAGCAAATATACAGTGGGGAATAGAAATTTTAGGATATTAGAATATCTGCAAAACAAGAAGTTTATTTGTTGAGTTTTAGTTCTGTAGGTTTACCTTCCACAGATTCATCCATCTAGGGAATGGTGCAGTTAAAGGCAACATGGCTCTGTTCATTTGCTGGATTCTTTCTGAGTTACAGCCCTGTGTTTCTTCTATTTCCTTCTAAAAAATACTTGGAATACTAATTGTGAGAGAATTATTATGAAGTACTTGGAATTGTGCCCTGTAGAAATGCCACAACATGATAGGAAGTACTAGAAGGAGCTTCAAAAGGCATATTGTTTTCAAGATTATTTTTTTCTGGTGCTTATCAGAGATTCTTTTCAGTCTGTGACAGACACCAAAAAAGTCTCATAACGACTTGAGAGTTTCTGTGATTCATTGCAGTCTGTGTGAATGATCTACCAAAACCACATGGCTGTGAGCTGTGATTCTCTGAGGGTTTTATTTTCATACGTATTTACATACATATTTCATACATATGTGTCTGCTCTACACTGTAAATCCCAACTTTCTGAGTGTTTGCTTTTACTGAAGTGTTCGTTTGCTGACCTGGAGTTGTATTTAGGGGAAGGACTTTGCTTTGGTTTTGCCACACCACTTGTAGAAGAATTTTATGTGAGAATACTTCAGCCATTTCTTTTTCTATCTTTTTCAATAGCTAGAGAATATGCACTGATGTAACCTTGATAATTCCTTCAAGTAATTTGACCTTTACAGTTATTCCAGTTCTGTTGGGTTTGTTTGACATTGGCACAATAACTAATGCTTATGTCCATGTATTTTCAGGATTTTAATTCCATCATGCCAAATAATTATTTAGGAGGTGGTGCCAGCATTTTAGGGTAATTTGAAATATCTAGACCTCTCTAAGATTTTCATGACATCACATCAGCTTTGGCTGCAAGTGTTTTAATCAGGAATTTAAGTAAAACCTCTTAGATATTGATTCTTTATCAAATTCTGTACTGAATGGAAAGAACATGAAATTTATACCAAAATATTTTGAATTGTAACATGTTCATTTTAACTAACAATCCTGCTATTAAATAAGTTAATTCTATTGATGTTGTATTGGCAGGTTTTGAAGCTTTTTAAGTTGTTACACAGAACACGGCAAGAAGTTTTTAAAAATGATACCAAAGCCCTTGAAGGTGAGATAGTTCTTTTGTGTGGTGTGTGCTTATCTGTATTTCATGGAACTTTCTTCTTGGAATACAGAGAAAGATAATTCTTAACATAATCTTTCTTCAAATTACTCCCATAATTTCCAAGTAATAATTGGGAAAACTTGTGTGTCCATAATGAGATATCCTTTATTTTGAAACAAAAAAATAGTCCTTATATTCAAGCAACTAACACTAACAACCAATATTTTGGAAGGGAAACATTTATTTTTAAAGTGTTCCTGATCTTCTTGGGAGATATTTTTCTTTCATTTGTTTTTTTTTAACTTCTCTTAAGTCCAGCCAGAGCATAGTTAGCTGTACTAATTAATTCTCTATGTGTGGTTTTTCCTCAAGGGATTAATCCTGCTTTTTTAGTACCTTGTGTATGCAATACAAAATGCTAAATTGAGAATCTTATTTTATTTGTGTACCAGTCAACTTGAAATATGACATCATGTGAATTATATGGAGGTCTTTCATTGACATACTTTGATCAGTGTCCCAGGACTGTGCCATAAAGGACTTAAGATGCTTAACTTTGGGGCAGTGACAAATTCAAAATACAATTTTTGTTCACTCTTTAGTTTTTTGTTTGCTTTATTTAGCTGCAAGACAAAAGATAAATGAAGAATTCAGAAATAACCGAGATGAGACATCTGAAGAGAAGATTAATGAGGTATTTTATTGCTTTCTGTTATTTGGGGTTTTTTCCCACTTCACATATGAATATTTAGAAATTAGTCTTTTGCTTAAAGGATCTGCAAACCACTGTAAATAGATTGAGACATCATGAAAGCCAGGTAAATATATAGATACCGCAATAGTACTAATACTGTGTTATAGAATCTTGTACATACAAAAGTACATAAGTAGAAAGTGTGTTCTGATAGTTCAATATGATTATTTCGAAGTTTATAATAAAATTTTATGAGATAATGTATGAAGTAGCGATTTTCATGTAAATATTTTATACTTTGCTCATGATACCTACCTGTACTGTGGTCTGTACACCTAGCTGTACAGGTTAAATGTACCTGCTCACTGTTGTTTAGGCAAACAGAAACAAACAGACAAATTAAACAACCTGCTGAGTTACTATCACAAATGACTCAGCATCTTTGTGGAAGGCAAAAACCAGCAAAATTATTATGATTTATTGCAGTATAGTATAGATGTAGTATCTCTTAATTATATTACAGGGATTTTTTTACTTCTTCTTTCCTTACCATGCATTAAAAGTGGAGCATTCTGTTAATTCACTAAGTTAGTTACCTTTGCCTTAAAACTTTTTGCTGAGCCACTTTTTTCTGACAATTACTCTGAACTGAAAGGGAACTAATGTGTTTTAGATAATTTTAGCTATTAACATCCTGCAGTCTGAATAACTTAGTCCTTGTCCTTCAGCCTTTATCAGACTGTCCTTACATTGTTACTGGGCACTGGTTGGAAGAAAGTGCCATCTGTCCCTTGAAGAAATAAAATGAAAACCTTTTCCTCATGCCAGACACAAAACAGTAATGTAAATAGTTCTGACCTTTTAGTTAGGAGTTCCTGAATTTCAGCCTCCTGTAATAATACTCAGTGTTTGTGTTACCACTGTCTGATTAGCTAAGTTACGTGTTCAGGGTTGGTTTTTTTTATAGATGTACAGGAAAAAGATTTGCTGCAATTCTGAAATCTGTATTTGTTTTTTAGGCAACCTACAAATTACACATATGTGACTTTTTAATATGGAATAGTTGATATTTGATTAACTGTGTCAGTGAAAGAAATACCAGACTTCCATCGCAGCTACACACTCCTAGAATATCACAATAGCTGTCATATTTATTACATGTACACACTGAAAAGACTTAGTTGCAGAGGAACTGAACCAAGTTTTATACAGGACTTGAGAATGTTTGAGCACTTGCTTGCATGAATGTGATGCTGCTAATGTTCTGCTTTGGACAGCAACTAAAAAATGGAGTATTGACCAGCCAGAATAGAAAACTACATATATATTCTAATGTGACAACAGGTACTTGTATCTGTATGTACTTGTACACATCAAGCTTGCGGTGACTTAAGAAGATCGAGGTAACTGTCTACAGTATCAGAATGAAAAATGTGGTAGCTAAATCTAATGCACCAGTTTTTGTTCAGATCAGTAGTGCACTTAGAAAGTTACCTTTGTTAGTTCCACTTCCTGTGACTTTTCTTGTTACGTAAAGTGTCAGACCAACCAGCAGAATTCCCTAAAGGTCAATCTGAAGAGGAAGCTGCGCTTCAGGAGCATGCAGCCTGGCTGCTAATGGGCTCTCAGCAGGGGGAACTGAAGGGTACTTGCTCCAAGCCCTTAAAAGGGAAGAGCATGAGAAGTGCAGTGTGGATGGCAAGTATTGAGCCCTAGCCTTTGGAAAGGTCCACTTCTGTTGATACACGCTGCTTCCTAGTGTGAGCATGTCTCCTGAAGTGTCTCACTTGAGCAATTTCCTTACTTCTGACACAGGTATCAGGCAAACAAGTATTAGGCTTCTCTTAATGGTGCAGCAAAGCTAGCAAGGGTGCTGCAGCTTATCCTCTTAGTGAGAGAAGGAATTCTAGGCCTTTTGCCAAATACTAATACCTCGGGTAGTCTTTAGGTAGTGCCTTGTTTCTGCACAGTTCTACTGTGAAAACTCAGAATTCTTAATTCTTGTCATGTTTCGCCCTTGTTTTTGTCTCCTTATGTCAGGAGCAGTAGTGTTGAAAGAATGAGATTGCCCTTTCACTATGGAACGTCGAATGTTATTGAGGCGTGAGTGAGCGTCTTTGATCATTGGAAACTAGTTAATTGGTTTTGTAGTTGCATTTCACCTTATTCGTTTGCAGTTTTAATTGGATACGTAGACGTATGTACTGGTGTATGTTACTGAGCCAGAGTTTCCCTCACTGTATGCTCCATGTCAAAGACATCAACATGTAAGTTATTCCAGGATCTCCAAGGCAAAAGCAATGTATACATTGTACATAAGAGCAATGTATACATTGTACATAAGTAACTGAGTAGTAAAACCAAATTATTTTATTATTTGAATAGCTGTCTGGTATGGAAAATATCTTCAGAAACAGTCACATGTAATTCAAATTACTCTCTTGTTCCTCTCTTCTTATTACTAGCTTCTTAAAATTGCTTCAGATGTTGAAGTGATTCTCAGAACTTCTGTTATTCAGGCAGTTCACACAGATTCTGACAAAATCGGTGAGTAAGCCTGCATGCTAAAAAGATACTTAAATATGTTACAGTTTAGAAAATAAATATAGAATGTGAAACTAAGGAAAGGGATAGTGAGGCAAATAGCCTGTTTGTTATTCTCTGGCAAAATTCTTAATGTAAGCTATTCATCAATGTCACTACCTAGGACAGGTGAAGGTTTCAAAGGTACAAAGTTTCCGTACGAATATTTTGAGGTATGGAGGCTGGTAGAAAAGAGGCAGTGATTATTTTTAATGTCCCTTAACTAACTGTAACTATTAGGAGGGTCAGCAGTTAGCTAGCTAGTCAGCATGCATGTACAGGCTGGTCAGTCAGCATACATCCAAAGGCAATAGCCTCAGTACCTGTCTGTAGGTGCTTGCTCTACCAAACAGGGAGGAGCTGCCTGAGGAGCATTAACAAGTGCAGTATATACACTGACCATAGAAAAGCTTTTTCTTTGAGGATTGAGTGTTCATTTCCAAAACTTTTTTCCAACAATTTCACTTTCGGGTTATACTGTGTAAGGTGTGTGACATAGCAATTATCTCAGTGCAAAGTCTATCAAATTTTGAAATCCTGATTCCTGGTTTAAAAGTTCTTTAATGTTGCAGTCAAAAAGAGAAGTAGTAGGCAGGGTCAGCATACAGCTGTGTGGTAAGAGAATACAAAAAATCTTCAGCTGTGTACATAGTTTCCTTTTACTTCTGTTTAGTGTTGTCTGGAAAGTTTTGTACCAATTTTCAGTTTTAGGTTTGGTAAAACATTTAACTTTAAAACAGCGGTTATAATCAAGGCCAAAGATAAGTCTGGACCAATGTCAAGTCTTCCATGATGATTCCAGGCAGATAATAGTTGAAGAATAGGAACAGACAAAGTGAATTTGCACCTCTTTCAGCTGTTCACACCTGGCAGCTCTTCCTGAGTCAGGGATGTTTTCTGGTTTAATTATCTTCAATGGGCTTCTCTTCAATTGCTTTTCATTTTCATCAAGCTATTCATGAATTTTTAAGTCCTTTATTGCCTCCTTTTTGTTCACTTCCCCCATGAAACAGCTCTCAGAAACAACAGGTGAAAGCCTGTGATTATTCTTGCTATTCACTGCACACTGTGGGCAAGGAGGCATTTTATACACACAACAATGATGCAATAATGTTTTCTCTTTCGTTTTCAACTGGATTCCTGCTAATAGTCACTGCTAATTCTAAATTTAATTTTTGGCTGCCAAGCATGCATATTATGTACTTATTTTTACAAAATTGTACTCATTAAACTCATCAGAGTGGTCATAATTGTTAGAAACAATGGGGATGTCCCCGATGTTCCAGATGAAGCGGCACCAGTTCAGTGGGTCACATGCCCCCTTTTGTCCTGATTTTTGTCCCTTTGGATTGGTTTCTTTTTGTATCCTTCATTTGCATGAAGGTTAAGGCACCTGATTGGCCCATTACAGTTCTGTCCAGGCTGGCTTGTTTTGCCTGGGGAGTGATGCTCTTTACATAGGTGTGTTATGGTACCGTTGAGTACTGTATTTCTTATAACTACCCTTTTAACCCATAACCAAACTAACAGTACATGCTTAACAATTATGGCTTCTTAATATCAAAATTTTCAATGCTTATAAAAGAAGATGGGAAAACATTATTGTAGCCAGCTGAAAGTAAAATCTTAGTATGATTTTGTCTTAGATATCTAGATGCTAGATAGATGCTACTTACCACAAGTTCAGATCCTCATTTTAGTAACTGAATATTTTGTTTGTAAATGTAAAAACACCTTTAGAATTTGAAATAGTATTTTACCAGTATTTTCCAGAAGATTATAGTCTTACTGTTTTGTTTGGGTTTTTTCTATTTCAGTACTCATACCCAGGAAAGATCTGCTACAGGACAACACTCCCTACTTAGATATACCAACAAAAAAGCAAGAATCCTGAGGAAGTACTTGTTGCGGTGTGTTGCAATGTCCTGTTTTAAACTTCCGGGTCCCTTCCCAGGTGTGCCTATGCCTCTCTCCCTGCCCCCTCGCCCCCTTGCTGAGTGAGCCCTGTCAATCAGGTTTAACATTCCAGCAAGGCGTCATATGGTTGGTCGATTTCAAAGGATGCTCCTCAGGCCTGGGGGACATTGGCCCGTATAGGTGTCCCTAGCCCCTTGAGACCCTGCCCCTTTCACCTGGTTGGTAGCTCACCTGTCCCCTCCCCTTCCCCTGTCCCCGAGCTTATAAGGTTAATCAGACCATGCGGCCTCTATTCTGTTGGAGGAGTTGCCCCGGTTCAGACCTCTGTAACCATGGAATAAACATCTGGCAACCCTCCAGCAGAATCCTCTCCTTCTCTTCACCATCGCCAGAAGCTCTCTCTCCTGAGGTAAACGGAGTTCCTGACAAGCCTGGACTTGCACCAGTGCCCCGCTGCAATCTCCAGCAGCCAAGGTATCTCTGGGGTAAAGCACCACAGTGCTGCCTTTGGCCCAGCAGCGAGGGTCACACTGACCCAGGCACAATCTAACTGGTTATATTGGGATTCCTATTCCAATATACTGTTACCAGGAAAAAAGAGACTGAAATCAACTCAGTGATTTTATTGAGTTCTGGGATATCATCATGCACTTGTTCTGTGGAAGATAGTAATACTTTCACAGAACTTAAAAGTACACTCATGAATTGTGTTACTTCAGCCAGGAATGTTTCTGATTACAGCAGCTCTCAGACAGAGATTGTTTCCCAGCAATCCAGAGTTTTTCAAAGCTATATAAAAATTAAATTGAGTGCTGAATACTAATAATACTTATTTTTGAGTTTATTGTCAATCATAAGTTTCTTTGAAGTAATGAAAAATCATCTTGTGGTATTTAATGTTAAATTTATGCTTTGTACCAAAAGCATGATTTCTGAAGTTGTCATTAATTGTACACTAGTATACTGTGATGCTTGAGAGCATTCGTAAAGGTTTATCTGAATAAATTATTTGCGTTTTACAGACAGGAGAGCATGTTTAGTGTATTTTTTCTCCCAGACACTTTGGAATGAGCCAGAATGTTAGGGGTTGACTTCTCAGGTGACGGCAGAAGAGAACCTAGATACAACATAACCTAAGGATGTTGGTTTATGAATTTGTGGTTTGTGTGTTAAGTGGTAATCATTGAGTGACTGAGGCATTTTCCAAAGAAAACGGCCTTGCTGTTTAGTTGCAAGCGAACTCGCCTAGAGTGAATATATGAAAGGTGTAATTAGTAAGCCCTAATAATTTGTATTTTTTAAAGGATACTTCCTTGTTTCTTGTGGAATTCACTGCAATGATCCATTCACTTCCATTTTAATTGGAAGGAGGTACAACTGCAGTGATACATAGAATCTTTTCTTCATGAAATTGATAACAGGCACGACCCTAGGATCTAAGTACCTCACACAGGGGTGAGGCAGTCTGACAATACATTGCACCTCATGAGTCCTGCTGTACCTGTTAATCTCAGTCTCCAAGATGTCAGAATTGCCAATGTGCATGTGTGCTGTTTAGGCTTGACTGGCTGAATAAATCAGAAAACTAGTGCCTTCATCCAGTCTCTTTTTCTCACAAAGCATGTCAATATGACAAGTACTCCTTTCTTTAAAACTGTTGCCTCTGGCTGCGATGGCCAGGGCAGCCAGCAGGAAATACAGCTGTCAGTAACGCTCTTTGAATTGCACTGATACTCCCTGCACTGTAGTTAAAAGGCACTAGGCATGTGATGGGAGATAGAATTAAATGGCTGAAGTTCTTGCCATTTGTTGTATTCTAGTGGCTATCACTACAAAACAAATGTCTGTCTGGGGGGGGGTGTCCTGTTCTAGGCCCCTGGTATTGTTTACTTCCTAAGGACTATGTTCTATGTCTGGTTTCCTATCCTTCTGCAGCCTGCCTACAATGACTTTTTTTTTTTCCTGTAAGGGGCATGAGAGAGTCATATGCCAGAAAGAGAAAATACAAGGTAGTGGCAACTGCAAAGAGAAAGGAGAGCATTGCCTCAGGTGAAATGACTAACTTTTAAGCAGAAGTAATTAAACAGGGGTTTGGTAAGACTGGGAAATTATATAACCATTAAGGTTGACATCCCATGGCATGTTGGATTGGGGGCAATTCACTTCTTATAGCCACTTCCTTAGGTTGTGGGTGTAGTCTTGGAGATTTTATCCTTCAGATTGATTTTATAGAACTGATGCCTGGTAAGTCTTCACTCTTTCACTACAAATGCAGAACCATATTGCCCATTACCGTGCAAAATAGGTAGTAAAAGACTTCACTGATATCAGTGGTAGATGGTAGTCTTCTATATGCTCTTCAAAGAAGCCATAAGTGGAGAAATTTGTCATGTGACTATTGTTTTGATATCATTCTGCTGTCATGTGTTCCAGGGTTTTATTTTTAGTAAGAATACATCAGTAGAAATAAAGTAGGGAAGTGTCAACTTACAGGATCAGGCTTGCGATTCAACAGGCATTTGTGTCCCTCGTCTTACATATATCTTGAATACTCAAAAATACAGAATGAGTCACTTGAATAACATACACAACTGGTGAAAAAAGTACCTTGTAAAAATAGGTGGTACAGTTAATTGGTCTTCAGAATTAATGTTTTTACACTCCTGTGCAGTATCTTTATGGTGTGTGCATTAACATTCCATGTTTCTGCTGTCCTTGTGCATTCCTGGCAGCAAAGACAAACCAAATTCTGCAGTGTTGAGATGAGAAAAATCAAGATAATACAAAAAAGACTATTAACATAAGAGGCTGACAGGCCTATTCCTTGCTCTTATTCGATGTGATCTTAAATAGGAATCCAGGGGATATCTAAACCAGGGTAAATGGGAATCCAAATATGTTACTGAGCCTAAAAGTGTCTCATATTTGGTTGCTGTCGAGGCCCGGTAGGTGTTCACTTTCTTCAGATTTAACTTTTCAGTCTTGAAAAAATCTCACAAACCTGCATAATGAGCTGCTGCTTATTAGGGTAGTTAAAGGCTTCTTCATGCTAGTTGGTCATAGCGACTATTCCCCTTATTTCATGCTTACCTGCTGATTTGCATTCCAGAATCCAGCCATCACTCCAGTTTTCATTTCCCTTTTTAATTTCACTCTGGGTAGGAATCTGTTCTTGATATTGCTAGGATTGTGTTTATATATATATATATATATATATATATTCTTTTTAAATTAATACAAATAATAAAAAATGAAAAGGAACTATTGTTGCAATCTCTCTTTGCAAAGGTTGAAGTCTTAGCTGAAACTTTTCAAGTTATTATAGGGGTTTTCACTTAATGGCTTAGGAGGGGAAAAGGGTTTTCTGTTTACAACAGAAACTAGTTGAATAGGTTCACAATAACACAATTCCATCACACTTAAGTTTTTTAGGTTTACTGGAATTATAATACTAGCAGAATTTTTAAAGCAAATGCATGTGCCTTTCCTTCTAGAGTATATATAATGAATCATAAAAGATATGCCTTAAAGGTAAACAGTTCTTTAAACTCTAGTTTTATTATGTCTGTATAAAAAAAACAACATAGAGCTCTTCTGCAGGCAGACAGGAGGTGCTCTTGGAAAAGCCTCGGTGCTTGCTCAGATCTGCTAGAGCCCAGCTGCCAGAGCCAAGAGGTCAGTGTGGTCTGGCCAGCAACTGTTCAGACACGGTTGCTGTGCAGGGTGTGTCCATGACCTGCACAGAGACACCGGCAGTGCTGCTTAGCAAGACCTGGGCTTGTGCAGGCGAGTTTCATGTCTGCTCAAGGTAGTCACATGTGTGCAGAATTTGGCAGAATAGATGCCACCTTGGTGATTCCATGTAGCACGATTCTTTTGTGCTTCAGCTTTTGGCTTCCGCTACTGGAGATGCAGCTGTTGGAGCCTTCTGCCTTGGAATTCTCTTTTACAAAGTGTTGACTTCATATACACTGTAGCTTTACTGAGGGCATGAAATACATCTGAAGAGTATTTCCAATTTAAACACTAAGTTCTGGTCTTGTGCTAACCACCTTTCCCTCTTCTTTATTTAAGAGTTTCAAAATAAAAGGTTTCTTCAGTCATGTTTTTCTGCAAGGTTAGGATAGGGATCAATCATGGTGTAAGTATATTTTCTATAGCCTGATGTTCATAAAACACAGGTGATAGATTTAATGTATTAATTGCTTTGGTTTGTGTGGGTAGGATTTTTGTTGAACTCTTAACAGTTTCAGGTCAAACATGGTGTTTGTTCTAATGTATCAAGGGAAAATTAATCCCCTTCTCTGCTCCTGTGCACTTTGGTAAAGGAAGCATTTAGTTGCTAATTTTACAAGGGAGTGCTTTTAAACCACAATGCGATTTTACAAAGAATTGATCTGGAAGTAGCATTAAAAGTTTAATATGGAAAGGTGGCTTGTACCTTCCCTAAGGAGCTGAGTTCTCAGTTTTTCAGCTAACATGGTATCAGCAAACCTGTGGCAACTTCAGTGACATAAGCATTTATTCTTTTTCTTAGAGGTCCTGCCAGCTGAAGGAGCTGAAGTAATCTGAATGCTGCATAAAATTATGAGCCCTGTTTGTATCACACTGGACTTGTAAATACAGTTTCAAGTACTGGCAGTACTTTAAACTTCCTTTACAAAAGGAAAAGAAATATTGACAATTGAAAACTAAAAATAAAGGCTGACCAGCTTACAGGAAGAGCAGAGACCTAATACTTCCCAGCTTCAGATAACTCTTTCCAAACTACTTGCAAAATTCAGTCCTTACATTTGAAGTTTGGCAGGCTGTCAAATCTTTGATCTTTAGTTTTATGGGAAGATAATTATTTAAAACAAAGCACAAAGAGGAACACAAATTGAGTATTAAGGTTGGTATTTGGTGTTAAGGATATTGAGGTGCTGGAGTGTGGCCAGTGCAGGGCAGCAAGGCTTGTGAAGGGTCTAGGACACTTAACTTATGAGGAGCTGCTGAGGTAGCTGGGTTTGTTTAGTCATGAGGGGACCCAGGGGAGATCACGTTGGTCTCCACGAAAGGAGAGCA